TGGACACCCATTCCGTGAATTTCGCCTTGGCTGCCCGTCCATCAGGCAGCTGCGCCGTCCCATCCACGATGTCCAAGCCTGCGTAGTCAGGTTGTAGAGGGTTGCGCTCTACGTCCAGCTCGGTTTGAATCACCCAGCGTGTCAAGTGCTCCCCTGTAGCAAGGGCACTGGCATCGAGTTGATCGTAACTGTGCATCAGTCGAAGCGCCTCGCACAAAGCCCGATGCACATGCACCGCGCTGGCCTTTCTTGGAGACACCGGACAAGCGAAGCCACTCGGAGTGGTAGGTCAGGAAGCCGCCCGAAGATGCCGCATAACTAGTGTGGAACTCCTTGGCGGCCTTGACGCCCGCAATGGGGAAGTCCGAGTCCGCCGGTTCCTTCATCACAGTCACAGCCTGCCGCAGGTCCAGCTGCTTCTTCCAGACCGCATCGCGGTGATCCCCGAGAAGTCAGATATCTGCTCCATCTAATCCCTTCGCCCGGCGCCACTCGACCATTGCATTGACCCCCACCCGCTCGACAAAGACCTCCTCGCCATGCCGCAGAACGACACCCTTGAGCGTGAAGGCCAGGCACGTCGCCTCGTTCCCAAGAAGCGCCGCATCGACGACCTCGCCGAAGTCCGCGTGCCCCGGCTCGGCGACCACCCAATAGAAGGCTTCAGGATCCAAGAGGGCCCCTTCACCCAAGATGACAGCCTGTATCTGAGCCTGTCGCTCGAAGTTGGCCAAAGCCGCTCTGCCAATAGGATCATGAGCATAGATCTCCGCAGCGATGTCGGCCGGGAAGGGGGCGGCCCGATCCAAAACCCGATGACGATGCGTCCCCAAGTTGTGCCGGGCGATTTCCAGATCCGGGGTCAAGGCCAGCCATTCACCTCCTTCGATACGATGAAGAAGGATCCGGCGGTGCCAAAAGAAGCTCTGGTAAGGTTGTCGTCCTGGCAAATGTGGCGGTGATGGCTCTTCGCCGGTGCTTCTGGTAAGGTTTTTGTCTTGGCAGATGCCGCTGTGATGGCTCTTCGTCGGTGCTTCTGGCAATGTTTTTGTCTTGGAAAATGCCGCGGTGATGGCTCTGCGCCGGTTCTTCTGGTAAGGTTGTTGTCTTAGCAAATGCCGCGGTGATGGCTCGTCGCCGTTGCTTCTGGTAAGGATTTTGTCTTGGCAAATGCCGCGTTGATGGCTCCTCGCCGGTGCTTCTGGTAAGGTTGT